TATTCTTCGACATAAATGCTAAGGAAATCAAAATTTTAAACTATATTTTGTATATGACATGATGTTCCAACCATCAACCGTTAAATCATGTAGTTTACAAAAAAATGGTTTAAATTTGGATAATACTAGGGAGACTGAATTTGTAGACAAAATTTTAGAAACTAAATTATATAAAAGTTGATGATTGATTTATTACTTAAGCATTGATAATGTACTCATTTTTATTGGTGACACATCATTTAGTTTGTAAATTTAGTCTCCAAATTTAATTTTCCTAGCATTACCCTTAAAATTTTGATCTCTCCAAAATCACCCTTCTTCAACACTACTACTCACTATATTTAATGTCACTAAGTCGCATGCATCTTTTCGCACTCTGCGAACTTGCAACGAACAAATAAAATGGATATTAAACCCAAAGCTCTGATATCATGTTGAATATATACCGATTTAAAACATTGAATTGCCTGGAAATATGTTTACAATGTATTTTAGGTGATTTACAGATGTTTCTCGACGAGCATCGATAACAAAAAAGACTGAAATGCTTGAGGCTTGAGCACCGATCTTGAAAATGTTGCAAAGATTTGCAGAGCACGTCCAAAGTGAATGTGCGCGTGCGAGAGAGAGAGAGAATTTTTGTAATATTTTAAGTAACCCTATTCACATAAAAAAACATTAGGGTTCACTATTTGATTGGTGGAAGTGTGGATCCAATATCTGAAATAGGGATGTACAAATTTAAGTTCAATGTTGGGTATGATGAACTGTCATCATACTAATTTGTTTGGGTTCTGGACTATGTGCATGAATGAACATGGAGGTTGGGGGAGGTCCAGACGTACCCTTTAGATTGACATTAAACTTGAGCATGATAGAAGATGGCCAATTCTGGTATCTTGAATGTGATCATTGTGGCATGGAAACTATATACATTGCCTCCATTCTGGTTTGTTTTTCTATTTGGTTATTGAAACTTCTAAAAAGTCATAATGCACTCTTGCATTATCCGAGTCTACCATCTAATGACTTGTCTTCTAATTAACCTTCACGCACAGCTAGCGCCGACACATTTTTCAAAGATCTAGAAATGCTATACACAATTAAAGGTATAAATTCTGAAATTGTGCATCGGTTAATATAATTTGAATAAAAGAATTAAAACAAGAGATTAGTGCAGAATGACTTTTGAGGTGAAGAAGTCCGTCGCTATTAAAAAGAAATAAGTGGTTCTCAGAAACTTATTTTAACAAGTCCCCCATGGCATTTCCTTTTTCCTCTTTGCTCTTAAGTAACTAATCCTTCGCCTTTGCAACTAGGTTTGAGATGATTTCTATAAAAAAAAAAAAAAAAAAAAAACCTTCAATGCGCTCCTTCTCAACATGCTTTTATGACAAGACTCCAATCCCATGAAAATGTTAAAAAGCTAGAACCATCATTAAATTGGGAGTATGATTCTCCCCTACAGTCCTCTCTTCTCTCACTTTCTTTTTTTCTCTCTCTTGATAAAGAAGTTAACATCAGATGTTGATGTGATTTAATCGTAACTGTTTAAATAAAAGGTTTTTCTTTTTCTCTTTATAAAGAAATCAACACTAAATATTGACGTAACTTAATCATGATCTTCAAATAGGAGGTGACTGAAAATGAGAGAATCCTACTCCATTACATAAAGTTTGAGCACTAGATAGATAGATTTGTTTTTTCGTTGAAGATAGATCGATAGTGTCTCTTGTCCCTCTTGAATTAGATATGGCTAGTCTTGTCTTCTTGAATCAATTAAGGTAACAGAAGTGACTGGCCCTAGTCTTATTTCATTTGATTGAGACTTCTTCTGCGGGATAAAATACATCAATCAGTGGCAATCAGCTGCTCCTCCGCTAGTGCTACTGTGATGAAACCCTATTTCAAAGCAAGATTTTCCACCCCAAGAATCTCTCCAAAAGCTAAATTGATGACGATATATATGAAATAATTGACGTCTAATTTACAAACAAGTGTAAACGCCGTTGGATAATAATTTTGTTTTTAATTTTCAGTTTTAATTTTATTTTTTGTACTTTTTTGAAAATTGAAAATTAAAAATGGTTACCAAATAATTTTTCAATTAATAAATTCTTATTTCAATGTGTAGTTTCAATCCATGATCTACCAAAATCCTAAACTGACACACCCCGACCAAAATCAAGACGTGCTGACGAAATATGCTAACGGCGTCAGATAAAATTAACGGTATATGTTGTTATTTAACGAAATATTCCTTAACGTCGTTAGGGAATCCGTCAATGTGCTAGGCACGTGCCTTGGCTGGTGCATGAGGGGGCGTGGGAACTTAGAAAATTATTCTAAAAATATAGGGATGTTCATGGGGTTGAGTAGGCCACGATGGTATATTCAAATACCCCAATTGAGCAACGTATGAGAAGTTATTACCTAGTTTTGGTTATGTGCTTAAAATAACATTAAAATAGTTGTTTCACATAGGTGAGACGTTTCCAGAGGACAAGTGCAGTCAGGCCAGGCTCAGGGGTTACGACCTTGCCACATATCAGTGAGTGGGCTTTTGGTTTTCAGTATATATATATATATATATATATATATGTATATATATATGCTTAGTATTTTTCCCAAAAACTCATTTAAATGGACTTATGTTTTGAAATGACATGCCAAATATTTTATACTTAGAATATGCATTTAGTAGTTGCACATATTTATTTTTGACGCTGCAGAAGCTCAGGTAAGTGTCAGGTGAGTTTATAGATTGTGGATGTGAGTTACATGATTATGTTGAGATGTATTATAGCTCATAAACCTGCACCTCGGTGTTAGTGCTCCCGCCCGTGGTAAGGGCACAGTCCTTCACGTGATGTTCACCTCCCGCACCATACGCTCACCTTGGATCCAAGTTAGATGCACAATCCTGTCGTACAGACCACTATAGGTGGTTCCAACTCGTAGATGACTCGCGATCATTCACACAGTCTTCACGTGATCATAGCACTTGAGCGTATTTATTTACACCCAGTCCTGTCGTACAGACCACTTTAGGTGGTTCCGACTCGTGTGCAGGCATATTTCTTGAGCTATTGGTTGAGCCATACAGGTCATATTAGGTGACTCCTGGCTAGATGGATGAGCTATAGATTCAACCGTACATGTCATATTAAGTGACTCCGGCTAAGATATCATTTGCATTGATTTATAACATTTGGCTTACATATTTTATTCTAAGATATTTGACATGGCATAAATGTGGATTTTGTTATTCTGAGCATGGTTTTGATATACGTATGTATTTTATTTTCTGGGAAATTATATAGGTTTTACAACGAGGGGTTATTACCTTTGATAAGTGAATGGTTTTGAAAAGCTTTGTTTTTACCCACTCACACTTTCTGTTTTGCGCCCCTCCAGGTTTTAGGTAGGAGTGCTTATTGGTGGCTTACGAGGAAATTGACGGCGATTCTGACAAATTATCACTAATGTAGGACCACCTCTGGTATTGTATAATTAGTACTTGTCCTGCTAGACTACACTTTGGCTACCTATGCTCTGATTATTGTGTAACCACACTTAAATATCGGGATTGCACTTTATTTGCTTAGTGTAAATTAGTTAGCTTGGTTCTTAGTTATTCACATTTCTTTATATCATTATCATTTCCGCATTGCGCACATTGCTACGTCACCTTCACGTGACGGCCAGCACGCCTTGATTTTGGTCACCGGGGGGGGGGTGGATTGTTATATCCCACATCACCCAAGGAAGTGGATCATGTAAGCCTTATAAGTATATTCTCATCTCTACCTAGCATGAGGCTTTTTGGGAGCTCACTGGCTTCGGGTTCCATTGGAACTCCGAAGTTAAGCAAGATTGGGCTAGAGCAATCCCAGGATGGGTGACCCCTCTGTGAAGTTGCTCGTGAGTTCCTAGAAACAAAACCGTGAGGGCGTGGTCGGGGCCCAAAGCAGACAATATTTTGCTACGGCGGAGTCGAGCCCGGGATGTGGAGGGGCCCGGGGCAGGATGTGACATAAACGCTAAACCAAGATCCTAGCGATGACCTCATCTTTTTAGGCTTGTTTTATGAAGGCATTAATCATATTATGATGATGCAGCAGCATAATTCATTTTGGATATAACTGAAATATAACGTTTATAAGCAGACTTCATCCTTCAATTGCACTGTTGTAAAATTGATCTTGTTGCTGCAATTTGTATTACTGCAAGTAATGGCCATCATGATTAGTATAAATAAAGTCACAAAGCCGAGGCAACATTAATCAAGCTACAACGGTTGAGCCCCTTTTCTCTATCTCTCTCTGTCGTCCCAATCTCTCTCCTATCTCTCAAATATTATTTACAACAACACTTCTCAATCAGAAATTGTTGTATTTTCATTCCTTCATACGTTTACAGTCATACCAAATGAAAAATAAAAAGGCCCAGGGAACATCCATACAGTGGCGGATGGACTAAGAGGAGGGTCAGCTAACCCTGAACTTCCATGAATGTCTATAGATAACTTGGGTGCTGCCATTTTGATGATTGGAGTTGACTTCATACATGGTCTCCAACTGTTTGATAAAATGCTTGAAAGAAGAGTTTCTCTTCTTATTATTAATTTTTTTTTAAATGTTAAATGACCAAAACTACATCATTTTAGGTCAAGTTAGTTTAATACAAATAAAAAAATACACCAACAGCCAAAAAAGTAAAATAATTATGTGTATTTGATAATTACATTGCTTTAGTTTTACCAGTTGCTACAGCTTCATTGGAGAGAGTCATTACTGCTATGAATATTGTAAAGAGTCCATTACATAACTAAATGCGAGATCAATGATTAAGTGATAGCATGGTGGTTTATATTGAAAGCACTGTTTTTTCTTCCGTTGATAATGAAACTATGATGGAGAGTTTTCAAAATATGAAAACGCGTTGTTACTATTGTAACTTGTATTGTTATTTGTTATTTAAGTTATGAATAATGAAACTATGATTTAATTTTTATGGTTATTATGTGTCTAAGAAATGTTTGTGGACTTTTACATGTGACCCCTGGATCCACCACTGCATCCATACATGTGTATGACACAGGTAAACCAATTGAGAACAAACAAGAACGAAAAAGCGTTTATGATTGGCACTGTATCTTTGAACAAACAAGAACGAAACATCAACAGAAACTCTTAGAATACATCTGACGAACGAAACCCAACTACGACGATTATGCCTTCGCTTTTCCAGCCTGGAGTGCTTGAGCCCTCTGCTGTAATTTTAAAATCTGCAAGATAGAATGTATTATGGAAGCAATTAATGTTGAATTACGGATAGGATACAATGATACGATACGACACGGTGATACAAAATAAAAATATATTCTTTCAAACATATTTAACACAGAAATATATAAATTCAAGTTCATTTAATTTGTTGGAGAAGAAAAGTTGGAAATCTAATCCTCTTTTCATACAAAGAAGAAGCGTGAGAGTTATATTCATTGTTCAATTAGAAGCACTCTTTGTAATCATCAAATTTTAACGAAGGCTTTGTTTCCTATTCATTTTCTCATCTTAATTTATCATGTGAAAGTGTAAAGGTATTCTAAAAGCCAGATACTTGTATTCCAAATGTGGGATATGCCTATCCATTAAGTCAAAGCCGTATCAGTTGACCATGATAGGTATCCAAGAGTATCCGACAAGTATCGGATACGGGATACACGACCAAACTAAAGTATTTGTGCTTCATAGGCGTATAGCTCTAATAAATTCCTCAAATGCTATAGATATATTATCACGACTGAATCAAAGCCAGGAGACCATATGAACAACTCTGGCACTATAAAAGAGCAGTTAAGGTGCAGAGAAAAAGGAAAAATACAAACCGTTTCTTTCTTGCTATTTTGCTTCTCTTCCAAATCTTGAAGAGTAGTATCCAGACGCTTCCTGTTGCGCAGAATAAATATAGTTATGCCAGAAGTTAAACACGAGTCCGATCAGTATAAAAACAATGGTAGGAAGAAAAGGGATAAACTAGACATAATTGTCATATAAGCACCCAAATGTAAAAGTTGGGAAACCATCTATCCAACCCACACATATATCGCTACAAGGTCAATCCCAAACCGGAAAATGTAGTAGACAACTGGTGTAAGATTCATTTAATAGCTCCCACGAAAAAGGTTTCTCATGATAAGCCTAGGCACATAATGCACAGCATCAGAGAACATTATTCATTCCTCTCCCCTTTTTTGGGTTCCCAAAAACTCACGTTCCTTCAGTTACAACTTAGGGGTAGAGTTACTCGTATGAAGGCAATGAGCATGAAGACATTGAACAACATTCTCTTATTAGATAATGCACATCCTTCCCAAGAATTTGGATATCACTTGTCCCAATTGACACAGACTTCATTTTGTGAAAACTAGGCGTCCTGTTTTATAGTGAGCCTTTCAGCATCCAGGAAACCGAATTTTTTAACCGAACCCCAGGTCCTTCCCCATCTAGTGGGGAGAAAATTACCCTTAAAGAATTTTGTTTGTTGATGGTTTGGAATTTAGACTAACAATCATAAACCGCATATAACCAAACATGGGAAACTCAGAAACATATTCATTTTCTGAAAAGAAAAGGCTTAGGTTTGGTTCATTAGCTTCCATTTTAAAATACCACTTTCCAGCATTGCGATCAATGATCAAGACCTATCATTCGAAACATAATAGTTGGAATTTTAAATCTACCAAAACAGAACCAATTCGTTTGACCAAATTCTAACATTCAACCCAAACTCTTCCCCTTTATCATAAAATTCTGAAATCGTTCACAAAACCTAGGTTAAATCACATTTTGTGCATTTGATCTTACAAGTTTTCTCGAAATGATTGATTTTGAGGATTATCTTAAAAAATCTAACACGAACTTTAAAATCCGAAATGATATCCTAAACTGCGAAAAAAATTGCGATAGTAGAACACAAACCATAATACAAATACATAAATAAATGAAAAAGATCGAGAAGCATACAGTTCCGCTGAGATGTATTCGATTCTCTTTCGCACATTGGCCCTAGCCTCTGCCAAATCCTGCTTCACAAGAACCGGACCTATCAACTTGAAAACATTGGCGTCTTCGCTGAGGAGATCCAATTCCTACAAGCACAAGCAATCACATTACCAACACAACAAAAACTCAATCGTTAACCGATATCCGCGAGCTTAGGAAAACCACAACAAAGCCCATTTGCTTCCAACTAAGCGAAAGTTAACATTTTTCAGATATCGGTAGTCAACAGGTTAGCTGAACTCGTTTTCCCGGTAACCAAACACAAAATAGATAAAACGCAATCGAGAAAGAAGAAGACCTTGAGGACGAGCTCGTTCTCGCCGAGCTGTATAGTGTACTTCTTCCTCACTTGGTGGTTCTTTGAAATATCTGAAGGAGCAAAAATGCCACGCTAGGGTTTTACAGGTTCAAGTGAACTGTATATACATATACATAAATATATATATATAAGTATACGACTTGCCTTTTTGGATTTTGCTGAGATCGTTAGCTTTGGCCTCCAATTCGCGCTGAAGCTCCCGAAGAGCTGACGACGACGCCATTGATTTTGTAACTTGCTATGCTTTCTTCTTCCGCGTCCGAGCTTTTGTCTCTCGCTTTTCCTTCCGGTTTTTTTGTTTTAGATCCGGTTCAGTGTGATATGGGCCTGTGAATTATATTTGGGCCATATTTCAATATGTTTGGTAACAAACGTTGGGCCTTTTTGGGTCAATAAATGAACTTTGAGCTTGGGCTATTTACCATTGCCGGATACAATAGGCCCAATTGGGAGCATGGTAGCTGAACTAGATATGAGGAGGGAGAGTTCGGCTAAGCCACACAATGGACAGCCTAATTTGGTATTGAATTCGCCATCCATGAGATTTGAACTTAAGATCTGTCACTCCTAAGCGAAGAGGAATACCACCAGACAGTAGATAGGTTAGGCTTAAAGTTTTAGGAATGCTTGATATGGTTCGGCACGACGTTGATAGAATCCACCAACACATATGGGTCTCATTTACATTAAAGAGATGGTACAAATATGTGGTAAGAGTAGTTTTTTTTTTTTTTTTGAACAAATGATATTATCTACACTAAAGGGGAGAGGGGCAAGCTTAGGCACACAATGGATTAGCAATAATGTGGTTCAAATTCGCATTTGGAGAAAATTGAACCTAAGACCTCTCACTTACAAGTGAAGAGGAATACTATTAGACCATAATACTAAATTTATATTTATAGTGCAAAGCATGACACGAAGCACAATTGGGTTGGTCTTTGATTTAGGCGGAGCATAGTTGATCAATTTTACATTTTTAGTGTAAATATGCGAGTATTGTTATTGACACTCAACAAACGTCATTCTACACATTTTATCAATTTTTATTTACGATTTTATAAATTTAGAATATAAAATGATACTTTTGAAGTGTGAAAGCTTATTTCAAAATTGTTTTCGGATTTTCATACTTTTTTTTTTTTCTGCACACCAATTATTTCAGCTATATAAATGTGTTTTAATTTATTCCATATATTTTTAGAATTGAAGATAAAAATCACTTTATCGCCGATGGTCGTAGATAATAGGATTAAAGTCAATGTTAGTAAAAGAAGAAATAAAACTTCGTACGATGTGTGTGTACATACTGAATAGTTCATATCAGTTTTAAATTTTGCGTTGGGAGGACAAACAAATAAATAAAATCACGAGTGCTTTGAGCACTGTCAAAACATGAAACGGCGCAAGTTCTCGGGGGCCCGCCGCAAAAACCACGTTTCTCAAAACACGGCATTATGTTTAAAAAGTTGATGTGTGTGTGTTTTTTTTTTTTTTTTTTAAATAAATGATATTATCTAAATTAATGAAGAGACGATGTGCTTAACTTTACAATGAGCTAGTAATAATGTGATTTTCGAATTCAAATTTCCCGAGAATCGAATCTAAGACCTCTCACTTACAACCAGGGTTCGCACAGCGGGCAGGGCAACCGTCCGTGGCCCAAAAAAATTAGGAGCACCAAAATTATTAGGATGATATATTTATGTATGTTTTTTTAAGAGTATAAATTTATAAAATTTGCTTTGCTGACAAAGAAATTTAACTAGAATTTGTGGTTTTGTTGTTTAAAATTATTGAGGATGTCTTAGATTCAAACATCATATTTGCTACATTTCAATTTTTACAAATTTCTTTTCATAATAGTATAACTTTATAAAATTTGGCTAAATGATCAAGAAGTTTAATTAGAAACAATAGTTTTTGTTGTTTAAAATTAACGAGAGGTTCTAAGTTCGAAATGCTATGTGCATGTTTTTTTTTTCTTTCAATTTTTACAAATTTTGTTTGGCTGTTAATTTATTTACTAGCTATTAGCTATTTGGGTTATTATTTTTAAACATCTGTTCCAATTCAAGTCTAATCTTCAACAAATAATAGCGCGTAGACTAATTTTTTAGACCAAATTTGCAAATAATATTATGTGTTGTCAAAATGTTTAATTTAGTGTTCATTCATTACTTATACATATCCTTAAAGACTCAAAAAGCTCTCATTACTGTTCATTTTAACGAAAAATCACATTTGTACACTAAAAAGTCAATCATGGTACTATTCACTTTACCTTTTATTTTGTCATTATAGTTAAAAATAAAAGTTTTCAAGCCATTTTCATTAGTTTTCCTTTGTTTTTTTAGTGTTATATTAATGAGGTTAGTAAATAAAAAAAATACCTCACGATTTATACAAAAACACTTTAAAAGTTTAGATGGAAAACAAAACTTATATCTACTTGTAAGCCCAAAGTTTTTTTTGTTTCCTTATCTCGATACAAAATAAATTAGTTATTCTATGTTTATAAATTATTGAGTGTGAAGTGTTTCACTAAGTATAATTTTATCGATGTCTTACTTGTGAAAACAAATAATATTTTTTATATGAAGTGAGGGCACATTTTTTGGCATATCCATAGGCTTCAAAAATCTCTGGACCTACCTGCTTACAAGTGAGGAGAAATATCACTATGTGACAAAAGTTGATGTTATTTGCACCTTAATTTTGAATTCATTTGAAAGTATTTTTACAATGACTGAAAAAAATCAAGTAAGTGCTTCCTATTTTAAGTGTTTTTTGGGATCCACTTGAATTTTTATTAAGAATTGATTTTCAATTTTTTTTACCAAAAACGCTTTCAATCATTTTAATAGCACTTTTAAACGAGCACCTTAACGTTTGACACTCTTCTATATTTTTTTATCGTCAAATTAAATGAATTGAACAAAATTAATAGACAAAAATAAAAGGGTTCGGTGTGTGTGAGTAGCAGTACCTTATGAAAAATAGAAAAACAAAATTCAAAGGTGGGAACGGCAGGAAGACTTTAGTTTTTCTATTTTCTTTTTATTTTCCCAAAAATTCTGAAACGAAAAAAGTCGAGGACTGCTGTCCTTTTTGTCAAATAAATGATATTAAAGTGCAAAACTTTGATTAAAAAATGTAAATCCCACTTAAGAACTAAAGAATAAAGACGACTGAAGTCGAATCTTTTAGATAAAAGGACGCTCTCTGAGTCTCTCCCTCCTCACTGCTTACTATAAACTCACTCAGCAACGCGTTGCAGAGAGAGAGAGAGAGAGAGTCCAGTCTGTCCAGAGAGAAAAGATGGGTCGGAGCTCCACATTACCCAAATGGGTCTTACCGACTTTGCTTCTTCTCGGTCATTTGGCAGCTCAAATCTCGGCGGAAGACGGTACGTTTTCTGGTTTCTCTCTGTTTCTCGTTTTCTCTCTTAATTTTTCGAAGCATTTTGCTGTTTTCGTTTTTTCCAACTCCTGAGATCTAATTAGTATTATTTGGGCTATAAGATTTCATGGGTTTGTCGTGAATCATCGAGTTGCATTTAGTTTAGTTAATGACGGACTGTTTAGTTTGGTTAATCACCGTTCTTGATTAGAACTTTTCCGGTTATCTCAGAGCAAATCCAACTCCTGTACTAATCCGGGCTCATTTTTCACTGCTCTGGCTCACCAAAATCACTTTAATTTTCACAAAGTATGACCAATTAGTGTAACTCCCCCCATACTTCCCGCCAGGAGAAGTAGAGTGAACTCCGGTCACGAAGGTTTTCAGCCCCAAAGGTTCTTAGTTTAGAAGGTTTTAACGAAAAACCCACGGTATTGTTTATTTTAACGAAAAATTATATTTTTTCAATCCCGATATTATTCATTTTTTTTTTATTTTATTTTTTTTTCTTATCATTAAAACTTAAACTTTTAAGTTTTTTTATTAGTTTTTCTTAATTTTTTTTTCTCAGTTCCTGCTTTTAGCCTGCATTTTCTTTGATGCTTTTCCAAAGTTCAAATCTCCGTAGGCTTATTAGTCTAAATGATCCTGGATTGGTGTAACTTTTCACTTCTAGGTCGTGACAATGAAAATCGATATAAGTAGTTCATCGTAAATCATTTTGATATTTTCGTGAAAAATATGTTAATATCCTTATTTAAGTGTCACGTGAACAACCTTATAGCTATTTTTTAATAATATTTTTGTCAAGCCAACTTCTCAACTTAACAAAGATATTGACATATTTTTACAAAATGATCCGAATAATTATAAACTAAAAGATCACTTCTATTAGTTTTTTAAAAAACTAAAGTAAAAAAATGTTTATCAAAAAAAATACCAAAACTAAAGTAAAAAAATTACATTAATTTTAAAAATTATTTTGACTGAAAAGCCAATCTCTATTTGAATGTGGTAATGCAGTGTTGTTTTTTCATTTTATATTTTTGGGTACAGACTGCATTTGGTAATTTCCAAGGAAGACAGCTATATTTTGCATTAAAACCTTACGCCTTAAGAAGATTGGTTAAATTAGTGGATGGGTTAAATAAGTAAAAGTACTAGGAAGAAGGGTATATTTGCTCTACAGTTAGTTTACGTTTTCACCCATTTGTCCGTCACAGAGTAGGTGAAATTATCTAAATTAACCCAAGTAAATCCGGATTTGCGCCCAATTTCTGGCACATTTTTCTCCGTATTTATACAAGAGGACAAAGTACCTTTCCGTAAAGGTCACTGACCCTATAAACAATGCATAGCTGTCCCTTCAGATCACCAAACCCAAATCGCCACCCCACATGGTGTTTGGTGTCCGTAAAAAGAAGGTCCTTTTGTAGGGTCCACGCGCTCAACCCAAAGTTTTGTCCTTTTCCCCCACATTTTTTTACTTTAATAGTTCTTTTACGAGCGAGACGATATTTTAGGTGGCAGATGGTCTGCCCTTAATGTTCTTTTTATTCTTTTTTATTTTGTGCGATCAAGATTAAGTTACGTTAATATTTTATATTAATATTTTTATAAAATTAATAAGATAAAAAGTTATAGTAGTATAAAATCTTAACGTAAAGACAGCACAAATAAGATCTGATGGAAAGGGCCTCCAAATAGAACTGCAGAGAATCTTCCTCTTTTGAAAGCGAACGCACTGTCTTGTCACGTAACGTACATTTATCTGTATTTGTAAGAAAATTGATATTATTGTGGGCTTCCCCACATTTGAGGCCCATGTATGGACATGGCTATCCCGATCTCTCTCTGTTGAATTGGGAAATTGTAG